AATGTTCTTTTGATCTCCAAGTGTGGTAGCAGGCAGCAGTAATCACCAACAATCACAAGCTGGTTCATCATGTGGTATTTTATTTTCACCGGAAATCTCTGAACATCTTTAGATGATGGTATTTTGGGCTCAGTTTTGATAGGGAATGAGGATTGCACTGATTAATTGGAAATTGATTTGGTGAAATGAAAAGTATACAAAATGAGGTGTTGAAAGATGATTGTCTATTATAAAGAGCAGGCATAGAGAAATTAGAGATCTGCAAGTAAAATCAGTTGCCCAAATAAACTTGAGAACTTCAATATGGAGATGGCTTGTAATTCTTGTAAGTTAAAGAGAAAAATAGGGTTTTTTAAACCCTTTTCTACAATAACTGGATGAATAACCCTTCGTAAAAGGAGGTTAGAAATAAGAACTGTAATGAGATGGAGAAAAAGACTCAGTTAAAGCTGTATCTTAGGTCAGAATGGTTATGGATAAAGTTTGATCTAACTAGATTGAATTTCAGTAACATTTTCTGTTGAGCTATAGGGGTAGTTAGTGCAGATGAGAATTAGAGATTCATAAAAATAAATACATTGTAAGACATGTATAGTCCTGGCTACGAGGAGAGTACTGGAGAGGTGATGTCAGAGTGGATGATACTGCTGTTTTCTCCAGGATTGTTCTTGATAGTTGGTGACTGAAAAGTGACCTTAGCATAAAAAAAGGCAATGCATACTGATAAAATTCGCTGATGGTGCAAAATCTAAAGGCACCCGTTATACTTGAGAGGCCTTTACTGAAGAACTACGTAACCTTGAGGATTTGAATTACTGAACAAAATAGCACGAAGTGCAAGGTGTCATAAGTGTGAATTATTACAAAGAACCTTTGCAATAGGCTGATAGCTCATTAGTTGAAATGCAGAGGATTAGGAAGAGGTGAGTGGGTTTAGTTGGTTACAGCTGAGTTGGAGCCATGAGGCCAAATTGAATAAACAGGATCTGAGAATGTATTGGACTATCTTTATTCTGTAGAAGTGGGCAACAGTAATGTTAGATACTGATAAGACTTTTTAAATTTTAAGTGAAGTATGTTTTGCTGGCTGATTAAGGTCAAAAGTAATGAATCCAATGTGGAACAGGTACAGAGAAGTTGCTCAAGTTATTGGGTGAATGGTGGCTCTGCTTATCGTGAAAAGTAAAGAACTTTGTTCTGCATGGCTAAACAAGCTGGAGACTGAGACTGGATGGTTGCGATTGGTGTTCAGAAGTGTGAAAAACTATTCAAAACAAAAACCAAACTAATTCAAGTGGTTATGGAAATGGAAAATTCTGAAATCATTAGATCTAAATGTTCCAGAATTTGTTTTTGATTTGGCACAATATGCATTCCGTGACACAGTTTGAAGGAAATGTTTTAGTAGTAGAGATCTAGCTCCTTATTAAACAAAGTGATTAGCTTTATCCTTTTGCAGCAGATGCTGCTGTTCTATTCTGTGGTTTCTAGCAATATTCAGTGTGCTCAGTTACATGAAGGCTTTTTTATCGGTTCCCTTATGTTAATGTTAGTAGGAAAAAGCTATATGCTTAGTGAAAGCTTGCAAAGAGTAGATTCAGCAAAACTGTAGTGACAGAATCTGTGGAAGATATTTTCTCTATTCAGTCATACAGAGAGAATATTTATGAAGCTATTTGTTTATTTTGGCTCTGTTGGAAGTATTTACAAAAACCAACAAAACTAAATTTGGTGAGAATCCTTTCCAGGTGTGATCGTGGAAAAATGAATAGGAATTGGCCACTCATGTACTTTCAAATTCAAGCAGTTCATTATGTATCTGGAGGCCTGATATCACCATTTTGAAATAGAGCAGATCATTAAAGAGAGGCCAACTGGTAGTTTTCCAAAAACATGGGTTGCCAGTAGTTTAAGGCTCTCACGTCAAACACCTGGTCTCCTGAGAAGAAAATTCAGACCTTCTTACAGAGCAAAAGATTTTTTTTTAACAACTACTACCTCTTATTGCTCAGAGCAAAATTCAGGAATGGCAACTTTAAAATTTTAAAACTAAGAAAAGAACTTACAAAAGTTCTGATTTGGGAAGGAAGAGGCTTTTAGGTTTTTTTTTTTGTAATTAGAATTAGTAATTTGTCAAGGAACTTGGAGAAGGAACTATTATTAATTTTAATTATATTAATTCCCGCTATTATTGAACAATTAATATTTCAAAAGGGCTGCAAAATTTTAATTGTAAAAAAATCAAACGGGAACAGATCTTCCTTGCTTCTCAGAACTTCCAGGAGCAGTTATCTTCCCTGCTTTTCTGGAATTATTAACACAAAATGACTCGGAAAATGTTCTTTTGCAGTTGTTTTATAAAACTGTCAGCCTAATACCAGAATCCCAAGAGCCTGACACTGTAAAAATGAAGCTGTGAGAGTTCTGCAAGTCTCTGAAGACTGTGGTGTCGTGAAGTAATGGGCTTTAATATATGATCGTAATAGATGTTCGGGGGGTCGAGGGGAAAAGGGACAATAGGGGGTGAATACATATAGCCAGCAGATCTCAAAGAGCTGCTGGCAGGTAGGCCTTGTATTTTTCTCCATAGGAACAACTGCAGTACACTGCAACTGAGTACTGCTGGCTTTTTAGTCTGTGGAGGTGAAACACTGGAATTTCCTAGGCAGCTGTGACTGGAATTGGTTTGTGACTTACCCAAATGCCTTTGTAATGATGTAATGCTTAGACTCCTGTGGCTAGTGAATGGAACTAGAAGACTTGTGTGGATGGATTAGGCATGCACAGCTCTCTACAGCACATCATCTCGAATTCTAACACAGTATGTATGAAAGCACAGACTGATAATTGTCTTCCACAAGGGAAAATAATTGATGCAAGTGTTAAGGTTATTTTTATTCATGGAGAATTCTCAGAGAAGACTGTTTCGAATATTGACAAAAGAGCATTCTGTGGGGCATAAGGAGAACCGCTACAGCATGATTTGGTTCCTGGTTTTGTGATCTCTCATAAATGATGTCCCAGGAAGCATGTGTAAGGGCTAGTGTGTAGCTAAAGGATAACTACAGTTGCTGGAAGACATGAAGTGCCCTGTTCTGGTTTCCAAGTGGGAGATATATTAGCATATTTTGTATACAGTATTTAATAGTGTGTAATAGTATGTAATTCTCATTACATTGAAATTAAAGGAGGAACAAGCTTCTTTGAGTGGAAGGGAGTTGGATCTCTTGCTCTGTTCCTTTTAATAGCAAAAGGGTGATAAAACCCCATGTCCCTTCTGTTTATTTCCTGAAACTGACTTTGGATAGAAAGATGGATCAATAAGATGTAAATCGGGGGGAAATTCTTGGGGCTGGTGAAGTCTTGCAGTATACTTAGAATAGTGTTTTTTTCTTCGGACTGATCTCACCAGTGATCTATTCCTAGGATGATCATCCGAAAACTGTGATGTCTCGTAGATTGCTTTAAAGTATTAGAAGTAGTAGTGTACTCACAGTTTGTGCCAATTGATGACAGAATCCAGACTGCTCCACAAACACACTGCTGAAGAATTGAGTGGGACCAGGTACCTGGTCATCAAAACACCTAAGTCAGCTGTGGAATTCAGATACCTCCAGACAAACTAAAATATCTTCTAGACTGTCTTCCTCTTGGGGCTACATGGGTTAATTACATAACTTTTGAGATGTGAGAGGAGAAATAGACAGATGTATAGGTGGGAGATGCTCTATAAACTAAATCTGATTGTTAAAGAGAAAATGTTGGCTAAACGCATGTCAGTGGTAACTTAGAAATTATTCCCCTCTTTATGCTTCTACAAAGTTTGGCTGAGTATAAACTGCGTGGTTTTGTGCTTATTTAGGCATTACTGAATTTTTCTTGTATAAGCCTTTTTCTATATCAACAATGTATTTTCACTTAGAATGAACCTCATCCTTTTAAGAACAGTAACAAGTCTTTTGAAGTGTTTGTTTTATTTCTTAAGGGAGAGATTCTAAATAATCCTATCCTATTTTTCTTCATTTCATGACTATTCCCTCTACCTATGACTTTTCCAGTTTAATTATAATTTATGTATATTTTTGTTAGCTATAAAGGCTCCTTGCTGTTAGATTAAGAAGGTACACAATGGAAATTATGATCTGTGCACTGAAAGTGAGAAGTGTAGGAGCAGCAGTAGCTAGCTGAAACTTGACAGTGGAGGAAAAACAAATATGGCAAAGTGGTCCATCTAGGTCTTACATTTGCATATGTAGGTAAGCACTTGTAGTTTTCATATGACTGTTCAAATCAGGATGACTGGGAATGGGATGTATTTAGGAGTGAATGAGTTTACCCAACTGAGAGAAGGAGAAAAAGAAAAACAAATCCTGCTCCAGAAAACCGTGGTGTCGGGGATAAGGAGGAAGCATGGCAGTTCACGCAGGTGATCCATAGTAGGAGAAAATTGAAGAGGATTTCTTGTCACATCAAAAAAAAAAAAAAAGGAAATAGTAGTTTGTGCACTGCAGAGTGGGAACAAAATCCTTAAAAGGATGAGATATGTGAAAAATTCAAGAGAGTAGGACCCTGGGTTCTGGGAAGGAACCAATTTCAAGAGAAAAGGCTAGACGAAAGGTTTACTTTTATTGGTAGTGGTATGTGATCTATTTTGGTTTTAACAGAAATCAAATCTTTGTAAGGATTTTTCATTCTTGGTACCTGGCTGCAGTTTATTGACAAAGAAAAAGAAATTGAGGTAGCAGCACTTTCTGATGCCAGATAGGACAAAACCCTGTCACAGGGACGGTGTTAAATTTGTGCTTTATATACAGGGAAGCATAAACGTTGCTGTGTGTGCATGTAAGGGATGTAGGAAGAACATGTTAATTATGGAGATGGAAAAAGAATAGCTGGATAAATAGGAATGTGTAGAATTTGAAGTGTTTGTTGCCTTTAAAAATATTGCATTTCATTTTAATGTTACAAATACTGAGTAACTTTTCTCTTATTTTTAACAGACTCTGAAGGCAGATCCAGAAGAACTGTTTACAAAACTGGAGAAAATTGGTAAGGGCTCTTTTGGTGAAGTTTTTAAAGGAATTGACAATCGGACTCAGAAAGTGGTTGCTATAAAAATTATTGACCTAGAAGAAGCAGAAGATGAAATAGAAGACATCCAACAAGAAATCACAGTGCTGAGTCAGTGTGACAGTCCATATGTAACTAAATATTATGGATCCTATTTAAAGGTAAGATGCTCAGAGATGATGGTGATTTGATTTTTATAAGTAATTCTTTTCTAAGTTATCCAATCGTGCCTGTTTTTGTTGGCAAGGTTTCAATCAGACCTCAGTTGAAGAAAAATATATTTTTGTCCTTTCAATTCTGAAGAAAGAATGAGTTACTGCATTTTGTGAAGTATGCGACAGAACTTAATAGAAAAAAAAAGCACGTGTCTTGCTATTTCTGTACAAAAATAAATTAAATTAATTTAAATAACCTCAATTTGTTAAGCCCGAGTAATATGTTTAGATTCTCTTAATATTAGGAGAATGTAACTCTAACTGTTGTTTAAATTCAGTAAATATAACCTAAGTCTGCATTTGAACTGTTAAAACATTAAAAACAATGTAATATCAGCTGTTTTGTGAAGCTTGAAAGTTTTTGTCAGGGTTTGATTAGTGGCAAAGCTTAGGTAGCTTTTCAAAGGAGACTGAACCTAGCCTTGATCTGAGTGATTTAAAAATTAAAATCTAAAAGTTAATTTATTTGCACATTAGCAAACAGCAAATAGCTGTAAGTGAAGCTAATGGACGGGGTTTCCATTAACTGTCTTCTGAATCTGTTTCCCTTCACTCCCCCTGCCATATTAATTAATTTCAGGGTTCAGTTCTAAGTGTGTCAGATAGAGGTGTTTTTGTTTATATTTTTAATTGGATGGATATAGTGATCTATTACCTCTAGAAGGTAGTGAAAATATCTGGAAGCTTTTGGTACTACTTTATTTCTTTGGTCAGACTTTGTCCCCATCTGGATAGCTCTGTCTTTTATAACAGTGAGATGGCAATCTAGATAAAGAGATGGTTCTCTTGACAGGGTTTGAAGTTACAAGTAGGCAGAAAATACTTTAAAATTAATTTTCAGTCTGCTTTTGTGGAAGCATTCTATTTGTCAGCAAAGACATGAAGGTTCTGAAAGGGGGACCCCGTTTTATCTCTGGTTTTCTGAGATTGCCAGTTAGTTTCCAAAGGAAAAAAATGACTTTTTCTGAATCCAGGAGATGCATTACTGAAGGGAGAGACAGTTTTTCCTTTCTTCCTTGTGCTCTGAACTGGTTTGCTTGGACATCTTATCACTGAAGGCTTTGTGAATGGTTTCAGACCCGATAACCTGTCACCAATACTGGACTTAAATGTTATGTATAGTTTAAATCTCAGAAACATCAGAAGACACATAATTGAGCACAGTAAATTGGATAAATTTTTCATCATGGCTTTTATTACTACTTTTGAAATTTCTCGGTCTAGGTTTGGTAGTTAAGTGTAGTCTGGCAAAAAGGAAAAAGTATTTCTCTCCTGGACTGTCTTTCTGCTTCAAATCTGTTAATTTTAGGAGGAACACTAAGATCTTGTAGGATAAGTGAAATAGAATACACGAAAAATAGCTAGAAGTTTGATGGGAATGCCACTTAATAGTTTTTAAAATGTGTAATAGCACTGTGGCTGAAAAAGAGAATCCAATGCCCAAATTTGAACTGACTGAATGTCAACATTTTGTGAAGATAGTATGGCAACTGTTGCTTCTCCTGATTGAAGGAGAGAGGAGGCTGTAGTGCTCAGTAGCCTGAATGAGTTTGGCTGGATGGAAGTGTCATTAGTGAAATTTGTGCTTATTGTTGTGAGGCGGACCCTCTGAAAATACTTGTACCTTCTGCATCCCTTCTGTTCAGTAGCCTGTGAATTTTCCAACTTGTGTCAATTTTCTAAGATGCTGTACCAACAGTGGCTATGTATGACTTGGTTACTTTTGGAGGAAAGTACAGCTCTTTCTACAGCTAGAAGAATGTACAGCTAGTTATGTTTATTCATTACTTCATTATGAATGTATGTTGTTTTGCAAGACACTTGGTACTACAGAACTTTTGGTCTTTAAAACAAAACCCCTCATTTCTTTATGATGTTAAAAATTAATATGTGTTGGTTATTAGGTGATGCTGAAGTGAGAATCTTTGCAAAGGAAACATTTTGCAGATTATTAGCTTTCTAAATTGAGAGTCAGGTCGTCTTATTGGATAGTAATAATGTGTCATCAGATAGATATCTCTCTCTATATATATATTATTTGCTGCAGATCTTTGTTGTATTTGCAAGCCAGGACTGCCATATGTAGTTCTAAGGGTTTGATTGTCTTTTAACTCTATTTCTGACAGTGTGATAGTCTATCACCAAGGATGTTCAACACATTAATTTTCCACATCTTGAGTGATTAGGAGACATTATTTCTTCCATGATTGTACAGTTTAGCAGTAATTACAAGAAAGATATTAATGTTTTGTCACAGAATGCTTGCTTCAAAGAAGTTCAAGTGGGAAAATGGTAGGATCTTAGGTTTATATTGCCAGCCACTGCAGCGATTGTTATTCTCTAAAGCCTGTGCAGTGTGATGCATGCTGGCCATGTGTCTGGTGGATCTTGGCTAGAAAGAGGTACTGTTTATAGAGAACTCTTAAATTGATTTTATATAAATTATTTTGGCAGACAAACAGCCATTCGAATAACAATTTTGATCTCTCTGTCGTGGTTTAACCCCAGCCAGCAACTAAGCACCACGCAGCCGCTCACTCACTCCCCCCCCATCCAGTGGGATGGGGGAGAAAATCAGGAAAAGAAGTAAAACTCCTGGGTTGAGATAAGAACGATTTAATAGAACAGAAAAGAAGAGACTAATAATGATAATGATAACACTAATGAAATGACAACAGTAGTAATAAAAGGATTGAAATGTACAAATGATGCGCAGGGCAATTGCTCACCACCTGCTGACTGACACCCAGCCAGTCCCCGAGCGGCAAAAAAACCTGCCCCCCACTTCCCAGTTCCTAAACTAGATGGGACGTCACATGGTATGGAATACACTGTTGGCCAGTTTGGGTCAGGTGCCCTGGCTGGGCATGAGAAGCTGAAAAATCCTTGACTGTAGTCTAAACACTACTGAGCAACAACTGAAAACATCAGTGTTATCAACATTCTTCACATACTGAACTCAAAACATAGCACTGTACCAGCTACTAGGAAGACAGCTAACTACATCCCAGATGAAACCAGGACACTCTCTCATTTTTTTCCTTCTGGCTCTAGATCAGTCTTTGTTTCCCTAGGTTTCTTGCATATCCTTTGTGAGCTGAAGAGGTGTCTTCTATTATGTAATAACTTTTTTCCTAAGTACTCCCATGTCAGTTGTTAAGTAGGAATAAGTATCTTCTATGAGAACTTTTTGGTATTTATTTTGTTATAACAAGTTTCAAGGTACTGGAACAGAAAAATTTCTATCTCATTTGGGACACTGCAGGCTGGATGATTAATATTTCATGTCCCTTTCTAGAACAAGCTTATGTAATTGCAGTATACCTGCTCGGAAATCCTTTAAAATGTTTGACAGATTTTAAGACGCATTCTGTATTGTCAACAAACATGATTAATCGGCATTGCCATGAAGACTTCTGTATTTTTGAAGATTCTGTAGGTAGCCAGAATGGTTTGTGGGGTTTGTTTGTTTGTTTTTGTTTTGGTTTTTGTTTGGTTTTAAACACCTGAATAATCTGTCTCTGAGAAATCCTTGTATTGTTCTTCATTCTCTGTCATTCCACAGCTCCTTCAATTAAGCTACATGATTATACATGCTAGTGTGTTAAGGGACCTGTTGCTTGAAATCTTGGAAGGCTTATATAACACTGCTGTACTTGCCTGAGGCCTCTTACTGTCTTCAGATGATGTTTGTGAGAATAGCTTGTCAAGCTTTTGGTGTCTACTGCTTGATATACATGGAAGTACAACTTGAAATGAGTATTACCATTTAATGAGTTAATGACAGTTACTTTGTCCTAGAAATTTACATTTAAAAAAAATAATTAATTTTTAGCTGCTTTTTAGAGTAAGGTGATATAGCCAAAAGCCTTGTTAAATTTACTTAGTCTAGAATTTTTTTGTATATCCTAACTTCATCTTTTCAGAAATGTGTTTGCTTTATGGGGGGGAAAAAAAAAAAAAAGAGCTATATCCAGAGACGAAGACATATCTGTGTGTGTGAGGTATTACTGCTTTAACACAGTGAGTCTTAAATAAAAAGCAGCTTATTGATCGCATAGACCAAGTCTTCCATTCCCTCTAGACTTTGTTCTTTACGTTGTTGTTGGAGGTTTGTGTGTAATTGCTGTGGTCAGAGTTCATTCAAATAGAGCAATAAGCAGTAGTGAAGTGGGTACCAGTTTAGGTTGTCATCCTGAATATAAATTAATTTGCGGAACATCTTTTTGTCAGAAACCCTAAGATCTTTATATGAAACAGAAATGCAAATACTCCTTTCTAAAGCCACATTTTAAAATATGTCTTCATGTTCTCATTCTATTGGGACAAAGGGCTTTTGTCTACTGTAGGAGATAGTAACTAGAATGTTGCTCTTAAAGCATATCACAGCAACATGGTTTATGTGGGTGCATATATCTGGAGGGATTGCCGTTCCTTATCTGCCATGTTGTGTTTAAAAACCTGTATCAATGTTCCTTAATGAAGTAGGCTTAACAAAGTAGGTAGTGACTCCTGTTCTCTCTGCTCTGGGAACTATATCTATCCTTGCTGTCTTCCAAATGAAGGGTTCATCTGTTCAATCTATGATCTGGTTAAATGGTCCATGGATAGAAGAATTATAGTTCTTTTTAGATCCTTATAAAATTCATTGATGAAACTTCGCTGGGTCTGTTTACTTCCTTAGATTTTAGGTAATGGCATCCACTGCCTCCTTTGTAATGGAATAAGGATTCTTTGTGTTTCTTCTTAGATTTATTTTATTTTTTTATTTTTCTTATAAAATTGTCTGAAGTTATTTGCTGTCTCTTCTGAGTTTTGCCATGCTGTAACTCTGTAAAAGTATTGCAATGCTACTTATTCTAAAAGTTTTTTTCTGTCTAGGAGCCTGTTGGCTCTGCTTTTTGCATCTTATTCTGCTTTACCAATTTCTTAAGAGCTTAGTTAGA